CTGCCCCGTCGCCCCCCCCCACGGGTCCCTCCTTACGTTAGCGCGCCTCCAAGCGGCAACTGCGTCGTGCCGCTTGCGGGGCTCCCGGCCGCCCGCGCCCACACCTCGCGCCGGGAGCCCCACCAGTCGTTCCTTGCCGTTTGTCTCATTTCTGCACGGGATTCATTTCCTCCTCGCTTTGCCTGGGCGGATGTATGCCCGCGCGTGCGCCGCGCACTTCTCACGACTCCCCCCTCCTCACTGTCATCTAGATCGCCGGCATCACCGTCATCATCATCGCTCTTGGCTCACTTCTCCTTCTTCCCTTCTTCAGGCGCCGCGCCGCAGCATCGCCTCGACGGACGACAGCATCGGGCTGCCCTTGTACATCTCTAGCAGCTTCTTCTCCGCCCACGCGCGCAGCTCAACCGCCTCGGCCTGCTCGGCATCTGTGCGCTTCGGCGGCGCCTTTGCCTGCCGCACCACCTCGTTGGCAGTCACCCACAGCCCGTACGCCGCACGGCAATTGTTTGGGTGATCGTTGAGCCGCAGCGACTGCGCGTATTCAACAAGGCAGCTCTTGTAGTCGCCGGCCATGTAGTACAGCTCAGCGAGGCGCGTGTGGGAGAGGTAGGAGCTACTGCTGAACAGCATCGCCTCGTCGGCATAGTAGAGCGCCATTTGCGTGTCCTCGCAGAGGTAGTAGAGATTCGACAGCTCGCGGTACGCGGAGAGACTGTTGCCGCGGTGGATCTCCAGGTAGGTGTGCTTCTCTCCGTTCTCATCCGTGTAGACCTGTTGCTTCTCTAGAAACTCGATGGCCTTGCGGTACTTCCCCTCGCTCTTTAACATCGCGCACATCCGCATCACCGCGAAGTCGTCCGTCGGCGCGTCCTTCAGAATGGCGCGGTACAGCCGCTCCGCCTCCGCCGCGGCACCGGCCGCCTCGAGACACAGACCCTCCAGGTGCCGGACCCGCACGGACTGCCTGCCGAAGCGCTTCTGCAGCAGCGCTAGGTAGCGGCGCGCCGTGTCAACGCGGCCGCAGTCGAGCGCGGCGATGAGGACCTGCTCATATATGCCGGCCAGCTCCGTCGCGCTGACGTCACTGGTGCCGCCGGCAAGAAGATCCGTCCCTAGCAGAAGAACAACGTTGGCATTGCGGGTTTGGCTCTCGCGGTGCCGCTGCAGAAGTTGGCGCTTCTGCTGCCGTGAGAGTTGCTTGATGTCGAGGGGCGTCACAGACTGCAGGGAAATCTGCGCCTCCGCCATGGTCTCTCTCTCTTTCTCTCGCTTGATTGTGTGTTTGTTTGTTTTTTGTTTATTTCCGTTTTGTTTTCCTTCTTATTTATTCCTTCCTTCACTCCGTGCGTGTGTGTGTTGTCCTGTGTGCGTGTGTGCCTCGGGGTGTCGCTGTCCGACAGGGACGTTGCTCTAAGCTATCACTGCCTCCCCTCAGCCTCGCGGCGCCCTACTCTCTTCTGCAGAATTCCGCGGGTGCGTTGGGTAACGAAGGTGTGTGGGAGGGAGAGAGAGAGAGAGAGAAAGAGCTTATGTGGGTGTGGGGCGTGCAAGCGCAGCAGTACGAGCAGAAGGAAGCCCCTCCCCCACCAGCCGGCTCCATCCGCAATCCGCACCTGACGTCCGGGCAGCAGCAATGGCCCCCCGTCCATCCGCGGCGAAGAAATAGGGAGCCGCGGTGCCCCTCGCCAGCGCATGGCAGCCCGTGCAAGCAGAGGGGGGGGGGNCCCTCCCGCCACACACAGACAAATATAACGGTGCGATTCCGTATCGAAGCATCGATGAGTGTGCACACAAGCACAACGAATGAGCAGAACGGTGATACCATAATTAAGCAGAACCATAACAATATTTTATTTTTTATATAAAATAAAATAAAAATAATGCCGTGCATATACCCACGGGCTCTGCTGCCTCTACCCCTCATGACAGCAAACGGAGAGAAGCGGGAGTGTGCAGAGGGCATTGCGTGGCGCGGTGGTTACCCATGCGCGCCCCCCACCTGCAAGCACACGCAGAGAGAAAGACTCACCTGAGCCGCTTCTGTCGCTTGGCGGCGATAGCGACGATCTGCCGCGTCACCTCGTACGACTTGACAAAAGACGGGATCGGCAGGNCCTGAGCCGCTTCTGTCGCTTGGCGGCGATAGCGACGATCTGCCGCGTCACCTCGTACGACTTGACAAAAGACGGGATCGGCAGGAACTCGAACTTTGAGTGGAAGTTGTGCGCGCCGGTGAAGTAGTTCGGCGTCACGATGCCCTTCGCAGAGAGCACCGCGCCGTCGGTGCCGCCACGCATCGCCATCACCTTCGGCTCGACGCCGACGCTGCTCAGCGCCTCGAAGAGAACGTCCACCGCCGTGCGGTCGTTGCCAATGGAGTCAGCGATGTTGCGGTACAGCTCCATCACGGACACCTCCACCTGGCCGGTGGGGTACAGCTGCCGGATCTCTTCGGCTGCCGCGTGCAGCTTCTGCTTACGCTCCTCGAACTTCGCCTCGTCGAACTCCCGCACCATCACGCTGAGTACCGCCTCGCTCTGGCCGGCGTGGATCTCAGAGAACCAGTGGTAGCCCTCCTTGCCGGCGGTGCGCTCCGGTGTCTCGTCGCGGCTGAAGCGCGCCATGTAGTCGACGGCCATCAGCAGCGGGTTGACCAGCACGCCCTTCGCCGACATGGGGTGCGCGGGGACGCCGGTGAACGTGATGCGCCCGACCGCGGCGTTGAAGTTCTCGTACACCACTTCGCCCAGCTCGCAGCAGTCGATCGTGTAGGCGAAGTCAACGTTGAAGCGGGCCTTGAGGTCGAGGTTCTTGGCGCCAAGGAGGCCGATCTCCTCGTCCGGCACGCAGCAGATGACGATGTCGCCGTGCTCATCCTCCGGGCGCAGGCTTGTGATCATCTCCATCACATTCGCGATCGCCGCCTTGTCGTCAGCGCCGAGCACACTCGTGCCGTCGCTGAACAGCACCTCCTGTCCGGCATAGCGCACGACCTCCGGGTGCTCGGCGGCACGCAGCCAAATGTCCTGCTCCTTGTTGAGGCACACGTCACCGCCGTCGTAGCGCAGCTTCTGCGCCTTCACCACAGGGCTGAGGCCGACGTCGACGGTGTCGAGGTGCACGATGAAGCCAATCGTCGGGCAGTCCTTCTTGCTGCCGCGCCTCACCGCCGTCACCGTCGCGTGGGCGTCGCAGACAACGTCCTCGAGGCCGGCCGCTCGCAGCTCCCCGGCGAGGAGCTCCGCGAGTTCCTGCTGGCCCGGCGACGTTGGCAGGCACTTGCCGATATTGGCCGCGTTGCTCTGGCTGCTGATGGCGGAGTACCGCATGAAACGCTCCACGAGCCGCTGCTCAACGCTCTTGCCGGGCATGATACTTCACTTTATCTCTCTCTCTTTCTTTATCTCTCTATTTCTTGCGCAAAAAGAACTAGCCGTGTGGCGCATGGAGGCACCAAGCGCAGTTTCGTGCAACGCAACCACGAAGAAGGCAAAGCGTCCGGACGAGCAGCAGGGCCGGAGGAAACAGAAGCCGCAGCAAGAGACACGAGGTGGGGCACACCCCGTATAGCCACGCCTCCCTCTCTTCCACATTCGTCTCTTCTTCCCGCCTCCACTCGCGTCTATCGTACATATATTCGCCCATGGGTGGTTGAAGACACTCCACAGGCGTTTGTTTGCTGCTTCTTTTTTATTTTTTCGTTTAAGAGGAAGAAAAAACTGAAGAAACTTCACATGCAGTAGCACAGCCACTAACTGCCGCGCCGCCACCTTCCTCCCTTCTTCGCTCCTTCCGCTTCTAGTACAGAAAGGTGCGCTGGACAGTCTCGATCGCGGAGGTCTCTGTGCCGCGCAGCCCCTTGAGGTACTGCACCGTCCGCGGCGGCTGCACCGCGGCGTCCTGCATCGTCTGCGTCGCGTCGTCGCGTGGCGGCCGCACCTGTGTCGCGTTGTCGCGGCGGAAGTGCGACGCAATGGTCTGCGTCGAGTGCGTGCGCATATCCAAAAGGTTCAC